CTTTGGCAGCTGATTTATCGAAAACCGCACCGCACCGTGGGCATAGCGACACGTCTTCGTCTTTCTCTTTCTTCCTATTCAAAAATTCAACGAGGAGTCTCCCGCTCGAGGATATATCTCTTTCTCAAATTCTTTTTCGAATTCGTTCAAGTCGAACTCCATATCTTCCTCTCGATACGTCCATTCTGGTATGCTTGGGATCGATGTCTTCAGCAACATCGACCATGCCTATGAAGGTGGCATTCATCGGCCTAACGTCATCCTTCATCTCAGCTTGGGATTCAATATATCCCACTTGGACTTCGAACGGACTCGTGTCCACTTTCATCGCCGTCTCTCCAAACTTCAGCCTTCCTTGGTCGATTGCATCTTGAATCGTGTTCCTGAAATGTATACAATTATTAGTCCAAATGTCCATAAATATTATGAAATTTACAATATTTTCGACCACCCCTTTGTTCTCGCGTAGGCGCTTGTGATCTTCGCTTAACTTAATCTGTTTATCTTTTAGTAGAATGTCGAAGATCTTATCTCGCTTTTGTTACATCGAAAGTGTAGGTTCTGGTTTGCCATTTTATCCTTCACTTCATTCTTTTGCAACAATTTACAAGTATATGGAGCTCCTACTTTGAGCTCGCTATATTTACTTTCTCATCAACATTTTCCTCGATATCGCTTCGTCGAGGTATCTACTTCATACACATCATTTATATAGGCTATTCTTTCTTTTTTCACAGTGTTTCTCAAATTTCTTGTGCCTTTGTTTCTCATACTCGATTTGTTCCACTCTCCTCACTTTATCGCCTAACCGAGCCATGTCATTTAATGGCAAATTTACCAACTTTTTCCTAATCGAGAATTCTAAACCTCGCAGTAAGCCATCCCGACTAATTCGTATTCGTGAATTTGAGTAAAACATCTTGATTTCATTTGTCTAAATCGATTCGTATAATCATCTATGTTTTCATGATTATATCGTTTTATGTTCATCAAATCAATGAGACTTACTTGAGTTTCTCCTCTAAAGAATTGTTCATGGAAATTTCTTTCTAACTCGAAACCAATTATATATCGAATTGGGTGGCAATGAAGTAAACCAAGTGAAAGCATTCTTAGTCAAGGAACTAGGGAAATACTTCATTTTTAACTCTTCACTCATTGCTAAGTCCCCACACTCTATCTCGATATCGAGCTACATGCTCGATAGTTGATTCACCAACCTCTCCAAAGAAATTTAGTGAATTTGGGTATTTTGTATCCTCGAGGCAATTCTGTCTCGAGAATCGCATTTGGAAAAGGAGACACAAAATATGTCCGATTGGGTGGTCTTACATCCGTCCCTTGGAAATTCATCCTTTGTCCTAACATGTGATTATATTGCGTATTATTTTGATTATGAATATTTTGAAATCCCTCATTCAGATTTCCGTAAATATCATTCCTCACATGTTGATATTCGTTCCCCATTTGCCGATATTGATCATTGTTCCGATTCCTTCTTAATAAATAAGGGGGATTAATATTCTGATTGGCATGATTCTCAATCCTCGTTTGTCGAGGTACAGCCTAATGCGTCTCCAATTCGAGACATTTGATCCGCTAATATCTCGAAACTAGCAGTAGTATTTTGAACTAATGGGTTTAAGACCGTAGTCAACCGCCGTGATAACATATTCACCATTTCAAAATTACTCTCATCCATTTGTTGTCTAAGTATTCCTAGGGAGTTACCGGAAATCCCAAGATTAGTATTTTCGATATTCTCGAAATTAGATCGATGAAAGTCCCTATCAAATGCATATCTCCCATGATCGAGATTCCCCTAGGATCTAGATTTGGAGGTGTCTCGTTGTATCCCTAAGTTTGGTCCATTCCCCGAATTTTGTGATGTCACCGAATTTTGAGATACCCCTAAATGTGTAGATACTCCAAAGTTTTGTGGCATGCCTAGGGTTTGAAATGTACCTACGTTTTGAGGCATTCCTAAGCCGAATCGTGAATTTCTATGTATCGATGAAGTGCCAGCTCCATTCATGTTATTGGATAAGAAACCAGGTGGTCTTACACTAGTATATGGCCCCGCATATGTGGTTATGGGGTTTCCCATAGTTTGCATATTATTTGATATTGCTATACTAGCTCCTACATGGGTGTTTGCCAATGGACCTGGATTTTGTTCATTACTTATTGGTATCGACGTGCTCACAGCTTGTCGACACTACCGTGATACTCCCATTATGCCCTTGCCCTTGCCCCCGCATTTGGTGGGAGCACACCACTTAGACCCTCATTGTTATTCCGACTACTTGAGGAATTCCGACTCATTCTTATAACTCTCCCACTTCTTAATCTCATACACTCTCGAACTAACCTCTTTTGTGTTTTTTCAACACAAGTCCCCTACCTGGCGCGCCAATTTGTTTCTCGTGGAATTTCGATCGATTTCGATTCTAAGGGTGTTTTGGTCCTAATCAAAATTCTACCACGTAAGTTCTTTTTACTTAGGCTAGCAATTTGATTTTCAATCGAAAACGCGTATGAGAATTGAAAACTACAGGATATCGAAAATGTGGTTTTTGGTATTTTATGTCTAAAATGCTTGACTCAAACAAAACAAGAAAGTATCGAATCGAGCAAAGAGAATATTAAATTGCAAGAAAGTGCGAAAACCCCGAATTTGCAAGAAATTAAGTTTGCGAGATAAATAAAGGACAGAAATCGAAATGTACGGGAAATGTAAATTGCTAAAACCCATTAAAATTGCACAGAAAGTAAATAACAGAAATCGAAATGTGCGGAAAATGTAAATTGCTAAAACCCATTAAAATTGCACAGTAAAGTAAATAACAGAAATCGAAATGTGCGGAAAATGTAAATTGCTAAAACCCATTAAAATTGCACAGTAAAGTAAATAACAGGAAATCGAAATGTGCGGAAAATGTAAATTGCTAAAACCCATTAAAATTGCACAGAAAGTAAATAACAGGAAATCGAAATGTGCGAAAATGTAAATTGCTAAAACCCATTAAAATTGCACGAAAGTAAATAACGGAAATCGAAATGTGCGAAAATGTAAATTGCTAAAACCCATTAAGATTGCATAATCGAAGAATAATAGGAAATCGAAATGACATTGAATGTAATCTACAAGAATATGAAATTGCTGAATTGAAATGGCTCGAAAGTAAATTACCAAGGAAAATATAGAAAGCGATAAATGTACTCAGTGAGCAAGGAAATCCAGATTGCCGTAAACTTCATGGTGTTCGTCGTTTCTCCGTAGACTTTTCACTACCGATTCCGTTCTCCGCCAATTTCCCCCGTTCCTTCCTTCTTTGCTCTATTTATAGGGCATCTTTCAAGCCTTCCAAGAACAGCTTAACACGATCGTTACCACGTTCTACGTGCGTATGGCAGCTTTTTCTTCTATTGTTTCCCCACGTTCCCATGATTTTTGGCTCTTCCATAACTTAGAAACTGCTTTCCATGCGTGCGTTTTGACTATTTTCCTTCAAGGTTTAACCGAGGTTATGATATCTACGAAAACGAGCCTTCCCTTTGATTTAATCGAGAACTTTGCATCCTTGGTATCGATTTATTTTAACTTTAACTCCATGTTAAGCTTTCGACTATTACACCTTCTCTTCCGATTTTACCTTTCGATTTTATGTGTCACGTTCTTTATAATCGGACATCAGGAAAGTTCCCTTTCGATTCATTTCTCGATCAGGCTTCTCGATTCCACACTAACACCTCCCCAAATAATTGAAACAGAATTCCAAATTCAGTAAGTTGAGACAAACCTTTTATTGGGAGGGGAAAAAGTGAGAATCGTTGTGCCCTTGTTGAGTGCTTAGGAAAGGAAAATCAGTACTAATTTGGGGACAAAGACACAAATTTTAAGTTATAACTGCATGCCTCTAAACTTGTTTTGGAGAGTATAAACAAAATTTCATTATAAATAAAATGTTAAGTAATCATGGTTAAATTATTTTACAACCTGATTTTGAGTCACGACACCCATTGTTTAAATAGATGTGAAGAAAAAGTTACTTTTCCATGGTTAAGTAATCTCCTCTTAGACATAAAAAACTGGTCTGCCGAGTAAAAAAAATTAAAATATAAATTTATTATATTATATCATTTTTAAATAATTTCTAACTAATTTTATTCGAGTAGAAATATTTTTAATAAATTTTAATAAATTATTTATTAATTTATTTTGCTTATTTTTAAGTTATTTATTGAAACAATAAAAAAATTTAAACAATTTATCAAATCATATAAACTTCTTTCAATAAAACAATCATTTAAAACAACTAAATTTTTACTTGATCAGCAATTCCCATTTAATAAAACATGACAATTACAAAATTTAAAACAGGTGAACACTTCATCCCGGCTTATAAAAGGGTTGCAACTTAAGAAGTAACAATATAGTATCCTACCCTACTAATCCTCAAGCATTAAATTAAACATAAATACATTTAATGGTTGAACAGTACAATATATATAAAAGCCCTGGGTTGCCAGTAGTCATAATATAACCGCATAGCATCCTAGGCTTTAAAATTACTTTATTAAACTATAAAGTATAGTTTCTAAAATTTAAAAAACAAAAGGCAACGGTTTGATTATTAACTGCTGAGCGTTTTCATACTCTCTTCTTATAATATACTGAGCGTTTTCATACTCTCTTCTTATAATATACAAATGGTAATCTTAAAATAATAATATTTTAGTTAATTAATAATAAAATGGTAAAATAAAATAAATAAATAATAATATAAAAATACAAAAGTGATGGTTGAATAGTTTCAGTATAAAATATCATCACTTTCCAATTGCATAGTATCTTCTTCCGTCAAACATAACAACAGTAAGGGAAATTTTGATCAATCCCAACGATCGTGACAGAATAAAAAAATTGATAAATACATGTTTTCAAGTGGTATCATATGTAAATTTTCACACTTCTTCCCTTTAACTAAATATCCAACTTAATCAAAATAGGATGTCTGGTCAGGTAAATCACCTATTTGCATTGCTGAAAACAACACATGTTTCATAATTACCCAATACACCAAAGAATATGGTCAGACGTTAACAGACGGGGATGAAAAAAATTTGAAGGTCTCAAAAACTTAAGTTATTTATGAGCACATCTTTCAATTTTCCATTAGTTCACAAACCCTGTAGGAGCAGAAAGAAACTCATACCAGTTTGCCAGTTCTCAGCGACGCAGTTGACTGTGTAGAGGAATCCATCTATCCTCATCTGGTCTCAATCCATCGTCAGCCCAAGACATTTCCACTACACAATAAAATAAATGCATACCATACTTTCTTCAAAATATCGATTGTGCTCATCGCCTTAAATAAATTATTGAAGCTTGAAATAAACTAAAAAAGCTTAATTTCATAACATCAAATGTCCACAGTTAATTTAGAAGAAAGAGGGAGGAAAGTAGGTAAGTTCAGGCAGAAAAGGGAAGAATACTTCAAACATGTGATTGTTTGTTCTGATAAATTGTAATATATAATGATGGATATTGCTCATAAGAAATATAGAGAAAAGAAAAATGTGTTGTCCTCTTTTGACTGCTAAAGTTCAAACTTCAAAGTTATTCTTCCTCTTGTCAAAAACTATGAAGGCTTAAACATGTTTTGGATATAGACAGCTCCAATCACTATGATTATGACAACGACTACAGCATCTAACAAACAATGATAGACTGAACAAACCTGTGCCTTTTAAGAGAGCAAATCAATTAGGTTCTTGAGCCTTCCGTCATTGTTTTGAACATCTTCCATCCTAGTTAAGTGATGTTATTATTTTAATAAGAATAAAATAATTGAACTGTTCGTCTATAAACCTAGAAATGAAGTTCAGTCAATATCTTCTATTTATTCATTATCTGGTGCAATTTGCATGTATACTACTAGAAAAGACAGTCTATCTCCAACAGAACATTTTTTTTTTTTCTGTATTTAGCCTATAATATCAGACACTAAATTCTAGAAGTTAACAGATGTACCGTTAAATAAATTAATCTTACATGTTATCTACAATCTTCGTATCCATTGCAATTTCTTCTTTTTGTTGCAAAATTGACGAGAATAACCTTTTGTCCTGGAATAAAAAAAAAAAAAAGCATCATAGCAGTGAAATAAGAATTATATAGTGAAACCGACTACACAGACAGCCATAATTGACAAACAGATGAAGAAATTTACAACTATTATTGGAACAGAAAAACGTATACTTGTGTCTATCGACCAAAATGTTGCAAGGTGACAAACTTTGAACTGAAAATTGTGCTTCTAGAACCATAAACATGGTAATTTTTGTTGATATACGTTTGAAATTTACAATTGATGAAGTTTAAAAAAGAGTATTCCTTTTACCTCTTCATTCATATTTGTGACAGTATCCTGAACCCTCTGTAAGATGAATCTTAAACTTCCAACTTCATAATGTAAAACCTTTGAATTATTTTACAAAATGTTTAGAAATCATACGAACCTCCCAATCAGAAGTCATAAACACGATGACAAAATTAAATATTAAACCTCTTTGTCTGAAACTAAATTTTGTATCTCCGCATTCTTTGCAGATAATGTTTTCTGAACGTGAGGCTGGTTAAGAAAATATTAAAAATGTATGAATAGATGAAAGTGAAAATAAGTTTTGTGGTATTTGATATAGATATAACTATTCCAGGCAGGTACGGATATATCTTCCATTTGAGCTTGATTATGGCTACAAACTTTTGCCACATCCAGCTTTGCTTGAAGCTCTGAGATGATTCTATCCTTTCTTCTTAATTCAGCCTCGTTGTTTTCCACTTTGTTTCTTAGATCAGAGATATTTTCTGTAACCCAAAGGAAGGTTTTTTGAGTTGAACTTAGATGGTATGTAGCGCAATACATTATATATATATATATATATATATATATATATATATATATATATATATATATATATATATATATATATATATATAATATAATTGTATCATCCTAGCTAGTAAGTATTATTAAAATGTAGGACAGTTTAACGGGATTTCTAAATTACCTACAAATTCTTTTTCAAATGCAGAGACCCACTCCATTTTGTTGTTCAAGTTGGTCACTGAAAAAAGGAAATACAAACATAAAATAAGAAATTAAACACGATTGTTTGTATGAAATCCACACATGAGCATACTTTGGTGACAGTAATAGTTAGGAAATTACTTACCAACTTCCTCTCTATCATCGACAATGTCCTGGACTTTATCCAGAACTTGCTTGATACAAAAAACCTCCTTTGCTATTGAATCAAATAACGCTAGATAAGAACTAATTTTCTCTGAAAGGACACTGAGCATCCTATCTTTGGCTTCAATTGAACGTCGCATCTGAGAAGTAGATTCCTGTATAACAACCCATTATTTCAAACCAAAGTACATCATCAATAGCAGTCATAATTAGGAGAGTTTCGAGTTCCAACATTTATTAAACCACAACAGCCAAAATCCAAATTCCCAAATCTTATGGCTCCCACCCCTCCTCTCCCCGAAACTATACAGAAAAGTTTCAGTTATCCTCTAACACGTGAATTAGGAATAAGTAATAACCATATTATTAGAGACTCACAGGATTGAACAAAATAAAAGGCCCAAAGCTTGCTTTCAAGCTAACCAAGTGCGTGTACGCATTTTTATTTTACTCTTTAAGGGGTGGGGGCCGTCAGGTTAAACATATTAAGAGGACACAATTTGATTGCGTAGTTATCTGAAAAAGCCACAAAACTAACCTCAACGATTTCAGTAATGCTCAAATTCGGCACTTCATTTATTGATCAATAAAATGTAGTTAAATAACTTAAAATGAGAGAAGGAGGAGGCTTCACTTTCTGCCATCATTTGGAAATTTAGCATTGAATAACTCTAATTTCTACAACATCTTCTTACTAATCCTCCAATTAGTATGAAATGTTTTTCACATTTTCGAGACATTTTGTGCATTTCCTTTTTCCATTGAATTCTTTCTTTATAAATAAGATATTGTAGGAACTTGAAAGATATAGCATCACTCCCAAACATTATTAATACACCACAGTTTATACAGTAACATATATATATATATATATATATATATATATGTGTGTGTGTGTGTGTGTGTAAAAGGCAACAAAAGCGCCAATCACAAACAATAAGATAACCTCGTAGGCATGCACGAAGCGTTCTCTAGACTGAAGCAAATTATTCAGTGTTCCCTTCAACTCTTTCTGCTTGTTCTCAAGCAGCACATTATCGTTCTCTACATAATTCACCTGAATTAGGAACACAAATCACTTAATGTCCCTTTCTTTTATAGAAAAACCACCAATGGTGAATTCCCCCAAACCTTTCTCTCCAGTTTCTGACGCTCCTCTCTAACAGAAGCCAACTCGCCCTGCAATTCCTGTATCTTTTTGCCACACTCTTCCTCGTTCCGCTTCAGCTTCTGCTCCCGAAAGTGGCAAAGCGAATAAGCATAATAAAATTACGTGAAGTGCTACGTGATGAAGAGACAAGGCCTAATTGAAGGGAATCGAAAACCTGGAATAGAAGGTGGTGGTGCTCGGTAGCGGAGCGTTCCCTGTCCTGAAAGTGCGAAGGTTAGTGGAAAAGGAAACGAGCATGGCCATTGGCTTCGGAGTCGAAGATCGTTACCCTGAGATCTCGAACTTCGGCGACGAGGGCTTGAAGTTGAAGCTTCAACTTCGAAAGCTTCAGCAATTCCATCACAACTTTTCTTAGCGGCATTTTAAATTCGCCAGCATTTTATAGCCTGCCAGAGTTTCCTTGCGAAACCACGCCATCTTGATGCATGTAAATGACACGGGTTGTAACTTGATGGGTTTTTGGGTAATTATTCATATAAAAAAGTTTTAATTATGTTTTCAATGCATGAAATTTGAGATAAATATTTCTTTTAATTTTTAAAACTTAAAATAAGTTTATTCTCATTTTTTTAAAATTTAATAAAATATAAATTTAGTCTTTAAATAAAAAATTATATAATTCCTTCAATTTAATAATTTTAATATTTATAGAATAAATTAAATTTTTATTTTTAAGAAAATTTAAATATAATATTTTAATTTAAAAGCTAAAAGCTTAAATTTTTCTAAAATTTTTAAGTATTAATATATCAAATAATTTTGTAATATTCTTCCTACAATAACATGCAATAAAAAAAACATAAATTATGATTTTAATATTCTTTACCTTTAATTCAATTTTTATTACAAAATATATTTAAATTAAATATTAATTAGATTTATTTTAATAAAGGAAACCAAAATAATAAAATGTTAAAATAATAATTTTAAAAAATACATGAGATTAAAAAGTGAATATTAATTTAAATTTATAAAATTAATAAAAAATATATTTCACTTGTATATTATAATTTAATTATATTTTGATTAATACAAAACACTCGTCATATTTAATATACACTCTTACTGTATTAAAAACTAGTAGTATAATAGACTGAGATAAAATTTGATAATTATTTTTATTTATATATTGTTATTTAATTATATTTTTAATAAATGAAAATATAAAAATAATTGGAAATGGTAAAAATAACCATTAATATAACGGTTAAATAATATATTATTAATAAATAATAAATAAATATAAAATGAAGTAAGAAGATGAAAAAGTGAAAAAATAAAATTATAAATATATACTTAAATATATTAAATGATCATTAAATTTGAGAAGAACAAAATTATAAATTATATGAGAGTTAAATAATTAAGAGAAACAGAGATGATAAAATTATAAATATATTAAATGTTCATTAAATTAAATTTGAAGGTGAAAAAATAATAAATTAAGAATTATAAGATTTTGGGAACACTCCCCTCAACTGTGAAGAAAATCAACCCGCTTAATACTAACATATTATTAATATTTCCAATGGTGTGAAGTACATTAATGATGATAACAGTTTTAATTTCTAAATCTAATAATTGTTTTCCTTAAACTAGGGTATTATAAGGACTCTCTTTCTGTTTTCGTATCATTGATTATAAATTGCATGACAATTGTGAGTTATGAAATGAGACCAATAATTATTTGACAAAAGGGGAACATGGAGGGTACAACATACTTCAAAAAATTACTTGGGTGACCCAATCTTATTAAACAAAATGGATGAGCATAAGTGGACAAGTTTAGTGTCAATAATAATATAAAACAAACTCCATACTAGCCTGGTTAAAGGGTGGGACCTCAAAAAATAATAATTAAATAACCCTACTAATATATATTATCATCATCATAAGCAAAATCTGATGCTCATCGTTCAAATATCCAAGCAAACACGTCCACCAATCTAAACAAGGATCAACCAATTTAATTCAAAATAAATTTCACAAATCATATGTTAATTCTAATAATAATAACCAACTAAACTTTTCAAACCCCACAATTATATGTAAAAACTAAAATAAAATTAACATAACTTATATGAGTTAAAATTAGTCTATATATATACAATATAAAATTTAAGAATTTATAGAAAATTTTTAAAACAAATTGTTCTATAAATTTAAATTAGCTTAAGCATAATGGTTTCATAAATTATAAATATGATAACTTTTTTATAAATTAATATATATAAGCTATTTTTATTGATGAATAAAACTATTTTTATTTGTATTTTTCTCGCTTAGTTTTATATGGAAAAAATTATCTAATCATGCATTTATTTTCAGTTTTGAAAAATTTAATAATAGGAAATCATTTATCAGTTTTATATATTTTAACTTCAAAGTTATGTAGTTTTTAGTTTCAAATGCTAAGGTCCAAGAAAAACTTTAAATTGATCCACAAATTTTCTTTCTTTCAAATTTAAACTTAATTGTGATAAAGATAAGTCAGGAAGAGATATATATCATGCAGTAATGACATTGATAATCAACAATAACAATGACATAATTAATTAATAATAATAATAGTAGTAACAATTAGTCACTGATAATGATTATTTAATGACGAGAATAATAATTATTATTATTATGAAATTATTGTTATCATTATTATGTATATACTAATAATAGTGATGAAGATGACAGTAGATAAAAAAGACACACAAAAATAAGTGTAAGAAAAAAAAAGAACAAGTGAGAAATATAAAGATTGTTTGATTGAAGAAAAAATGATAAGAGATTAAGAGAAATATTTTTTATTAAAATATTTATCCCAGAAAGAGAGAGAGAGGATGAAAAGAAATAAAGAAAAGAAAAAGAATGGTGAGTTGTGGAAGGAAGTGACTTGGGTTTGCGACTCCCGAGGTGTGTGTCCAGTTAGAGTAATGGTGGACAGAGAAGAAACACCGCTTCTTCTCTCACACTAAACACACACTGTGCGCACAACCCTCCACTCTCCAAGGAGATCACAATCCGAATCCCAGCCCAAAACCAAAACCTTCTCTTCAATGTCAATCTTCTTCCCTTCTCATTGACACTTCGTTCTGCGAATGGATCCGGCCGCGATCATCAACGCCGCCGCCAACACCACGTCGTACCATCTCTCAGAGATCTGGCAGTACCCGCCTCCCAACGCGCCAGACGTCACTGCCGCGCTGGGCCTGAATAGGGCCCACTTCGGTCACGGGCTCCCGGACTTCGCCCCGGGCTCGACCCGAGACAGCGGGCCGGGTAGCATTGGGCACAAGAAGAGGCGCGACGCCGAGGAGGAGGAATCGGCTAAGGGCGTCTCCAGCAGTAATGGCGTGGTACCTCACTCAATGATCTACAATGAATTTAAAAAAATAAAAATAAAAAATTGATTGAATTAGTTACATTACAATATAGAGAATGGATCTGTTTTTCTTTTTCTTTTTTTTTTCTGTTATTTATTGGTAGGTAGTGTTTGTATGAGTTGAAGATGATAGTTTTTGGGTATTGAGATTTGTGCAGAAGGAGGGCGGTGGTGGTGGTGATGGGAAACGGGTTAAGACAACGGGAAACCATAAGAGTGAGAGTGCGAGAGGTGAAGGAGAAAGCAGTTCAGGAAAGCTTGCGGAGCAAGGTGGAAAGCCACCTTCAGAGCCTCCTTCTAAGCAAGACTACATTCATGTCCGAGCCAGAAGGGGTCAAGCTACTGATAGCCATAGTCTTGCAGAAAGGGTGAGCCATTTCCTATTTCATTGCAACTTCCTAATCTTAATTAGTAACTACCCCTTTCAACTATCATCTTCTTCAATTTACTTTAAATAGCTTTTTAATTTATGTTTTTTCCATATTTATAAGACATGGCAAATTTTGTGATTTAATACTGATTTAGACTTGTGATTGCATTGCTTATTTTCTTTTAGTAATTGTTTATTTTTGTACAGTTTTTAGTAATTGTTGTGGTAGATTTTTGCACAATCAATGAATTCAGAATGACGATTACGAAAATTATTTAAGGTAGATACTTTTGCACTGAATTTTACGTTGTCATGTCGTGTATATATGATATATATTTACTGTGTTATACCATTAAAAGTCATCTTAATGAAAATATTTTCTTGATAGTGTAATTTTTTTGACATTGACACTGAATAGAAATTAAACTCCTCATATGAAAGTTGATAAACTTATCTCAGATTTTATTTCCTGTAAGCAAAATGAATTATTCATACTAGAGTGAACTGCAGCATAAGACATGCTAATGTCCCACCAAAACAGAATGTTACAAGCCCTCCTACAATCCATGATGATCTGGATCATCCTTGGTCAAATGATTGTGTAAAATATCATTACATACACTGTCGGGCAATCTAATTATTTTTCTTTTAAAAATAAAAAATGGTTGATTTATTTTATCCATAAATTTGAAATAAAATGGTTGAATTGACTTAAGAAACTATTATAGAAGTAAATTAATTTAACATATGAGTAGCATGGCAATATGTGACTGTGCTTTTTTTATTAAATTCTTATTTAAAACAAAAAATGGGAGAAAACTATATAATCAACGGTGATGGTTGGGGTAGGCGTTGTTGGAGTACTAGGAATTTGCTTCACTGCGGGATACCTGGTGTCATGTGAAAATTTTCTTACCTGAAAAAGTTGGTTTAAGAAATAATGAAACTGTTAAGCTTATTGATATGGGGGAATTTAAAAAAATATTGAATTATTGGGTCTTTTCCTCTAAGAATTATTGACTCGGTTTTACAATGGAATGTTGTTGGACAGGCTAGACGGGAAAAGATTAGTGAGAGGATGAAAATTCTTCAGGATTTAGTCCCGGGTTGTAATAAGGTATGATTTTACTGCCTGACTACATGTGTACTAAAGGAAAAAAATTAATTGCAAAGGAAGAACAAAGGTGTTGTCTATGTATGTGTCGAGATTTATGCTGTGTTTTCAAGGAAATTGTAAATCGAGGTGTTCTTTGATTCAGGTTATTGGGAAAGCGTTGGTCCTTGACGAGATAATTAATTATATTCAATCACTTCAGCGGCAAGTAGAGGTGTGGATTGTGTTGGCATTTTTTTGAAAATATATATGCTTTATAGTTTTTTTCTTTAAACTTTACTCTTGTTTCTCAGTTTTTGTCAATGAAGCTTGAGGCAGTAAATTCAAGGGTGCCATCCGGAATTGAAGTGTTTCCTCCTAAAGATGTAAGTATCATGCTGCATCTTTGAATTGATCTCTTTAATGTAAATAACCAGAAAGCCCCCTACTTATTTTAAACTTTGCCTTTTGGTGGGATATGAGTTTAATTGCTTCTGTTATATTGCAAGGATGCCTTTTTTGGTAGAAACTTCTTTTATACATGCTAGTTGTGCCAAGCTCAACCTTTTCAAGTGCAAAAAAAGGGTTTTCAGAAAAATAAATAAACTAAGTGAGAAATGATATTGAATTTTCTCTGCTTGTTGCATTTGAAGAAAATGCACAGAATAGTAGACCCCTGTGCATGGATATTTATTGTTTTACTCGTTTGCATATTGTTCTCTATAGATTTGATTTTTAACTGAATTCAATGATCTTGTGTGATCGATCTATTTAGCTAACTTCAATAGGATAAGATTCTTTTGTTGTTGTTGCTGTTAAGTGAGCACTTTGCAAATTCTTGACCGAATCTTATGTTGCTTCCTTCTGCAAATAAATGAGATACTTCGTGATATGAAAATGGAATATTGGATAGTTAAGGAATATTTGGTACATAAAGTAAAACAAAAAGGAAATTTATAGTAGATGGTAGCAACGAGTAACATACGTTTTTCCATGTAATAAAAGGGTAAATAAATTTAAAGTGTGTAGAAACTCACTGAAACTAAATTTTGGGGCCAATGGAATCAGATTATTGCTTTGTGCTAAAATCTTGATTCTTACGAGACATCAACTTGCCGTTCCAGTTTGGTCAGCAAACATTTGATACAACTGGCATCCCATTCGCTTCTCAAGCTACAAGAGAGTATAGCCGAGGTTCATCACCAGAGTGGTTACATATGCAGGTGGGAAGTGGTTTTGAAAGAGCAACATAGTCTTTGAAATCTCATGACAGCTTATAATATAATAAATGCATATAGGATGATTAGTCTCTCTCCATCAGAGCACCCATAAATCATATACGCAAGGTGTTGTCAAGTCCAAATTCCAATTTCTACAGGAGGCATGGAGCTGTTATTTGTCTGTAGAGGATCGCTTCAGTGAAGTACTTAAGCAACTCCATTTGTTAGTGCATTGGAAAATGAATTCATTTACCAATATGTAGTTTAGTGAATTATAGGCTTTCTGTGCTGATACTCTTCATAACCTTTAAAATTATTGTGATTCTTGTAAAAGAATGCTGCTTGTACTTGTACTGAAATACATAAAGACTTACACATTGTGTAATCGTGTCAACATTGTTGTTTGTCTGTGAAGGTATGTTGAATAAATTAAGCCCATGTGATTTTGTTAAATCTATTATTAGTCCCTTTGAATGCTTACAAAAATCTTAATAGCTTATAGTTTGCGAATGATATCTATTATTAATTGACTACCAAATACAAGTTAGGATTGAATGGAGACACTATTGGTTATTTTATGGAACTTCCAGCTCGTTACAGACAAAATTTACAGAGTATCTTGAATGTTTTTTTATACTTCTTCTTCGGTGAGTATTTAAAATTCGCTTTAGTTATTGGGGTGATTAATTTGAATCAGAAAAAAAAGAGCGAAGTAATTACACCGAAGTTTTGTATTCTTGAAATCCATATCACTGTGTTGTTTAAATTGAAAACTGTTGTTTTGGTATTTGACGAGGTACTTTACAGTATATTTATCATTAAACCTGTAAAGATATTAAGTTTATAACTTAAAATTTTTTCTGAAATTTAATCATATTTAATAAAATAATATTTTTTTATAATATAATAAATATATGATAATATTAATAATATTAATAATTTGTTTTAAAAAAATAAAAAAGTCACTAAATATTATAAATAAGAATTATAAATATAAAAATATATTTAAAAAAATAAAAGATAAATAATAATTAATACAAAATAATTATTATTTAAATAATTAACGTGATTAATATAATTTTTAAAAATTTAAAAATATTATTATTTTTATTTTTTTTTTAATTTGATTTTATCAAACTCGATTTGATTTTAAAGTTTCATTAATTTTTCCACGATTTTATATCAATTTATCAAAATCTGATTATAAAATAATAAATCGATCTTAAGACCGATTCTCCTTATTAGCAACTGCTACACAACAGGAAGAGGTTGAAACACTTCGGAACAATCTGACCGAAGAAACAGATTTTAAAACAATCTTGTGATAAATCCAAGCGATGAAAGGTCCAACTTTCTAATTATGTACATGCACAGGTTACATCAACTATCGAAGTTAGAAACTATGAACAAAATTATCTGTGTTGCAGGAGATAATTTTCGCATTTCATGAGATAATGTAGCAGTAGCGAATCTGCCAAAAGGTGTGTTCTTAAAGTTTAGAATTCGGTTTACTATGAGAGACATCAGAGAAGTATGCTGTGGATCTCCCAAAAATTGTTTTATTTTAAGACTATCAAGACATTGTAAGATTCATAAGAAGAGTTAATAACATCTGACTCTCTTCATCGTCAGATATTCTCAAAGGGATATAGCCTAACTCAGAACTAATAGTTTGTGTTTGATTTATTATTACATTCCAAGTCAGTTAAATACAAAAATGTGTCACAAAACACAAAACACACTATCACTAATAATAATAGTATCATCAAATATCAATTGAATTATATCAAATTATAGGATTAAAGACTCACTGCTATAAAATATAGTCTGATATTTTGAATACAGTCTTTCCAGATATTATCAGAGAAATTAGAAATTGCACATCATTGAGACAAAAAATTTAATTAAAATAATTATTCCATGTGGCAATCATCAAATATTGGTGTACATCCAAGGATACTTGAATTCATCGGAATAAAGATAAATCAAATAAAATGCATACCCCCAAAAAATTCTACTCGTACTTCGCATGCAAACTGCCATCAAACTAACATTGAATTTCAATTACAAGATCACAAGTTCAAATCTCATTTTCATCTAAACAAAAAACTTACATTGGCCATCTTTTGCTAAAATATAAAGAGAGGATAGGGCCTTTAGGCTACGGCACCAAATGAATTTCCCCCTTGATTGAAGCTATTCCCACTTGACTGGAAGTAAGAAACTGCTGCCCAAATCACACGCAGGACCAGTATTGCAGCAAATACAGTGCCTCCAAGAGTGCACATGACCTACGATTCATGAATCAATATTAAATTTGGCTGTTAGCTCCTACTTGATACTGCATTATCTAATTATATACAAAACTAGTTGCGCTAAGGAAATAATGAGATATGCCAGAACCATAGTTCAGCCTTGTGTATAGATCCTGACTTAGTTAAAATTTGATGTCTTAGTGTCAACTCTTTGGAATTGGTATTTTCAATGTATATTCCAAGACTTTAAAACACAATAATCTAAGGCCTATTCTATCTATATGTCACTCACATCCATCATTTGTTTGTGCAAATAAGAGGATGAATAAAATGTGAGCAGTGTGCAAATAACATTTTCAATACAAGATTCTGCAAATTGAATTCTCCATAAACATATACGAGAGAAAAATAAGAAAAAACAAATAATTTTCTTCATATATATGTCATTTTTTTGTTTCTTATTTTTCTCTCCTAAAAGTGCTAATAGAGAAGTTTGTCCAAACATGACCTAAAGCATAAATATTATTTTCATACCCTTCATTGCTAACCTTCCCTGACATCTCTTTTATTTATCAGGGAAATAATTGATTCAATTCAAGCTGTGTATATCCCGGGAAAATGATAGGGAAGATAATTAGAAAGGTAAAGTAAACAATCTGAGGTTTCCATTTCATGTTCAACCAGCCACAAATTCCCAATTAAGCCATACAGTAATGTGAAGTAATACCTCAAGCAGTGCTTTGACAACAGAAAGTGAAGCAAGTAGCAGAGTTCCGTCAACAGCAAAAGAAACCTGAATTTCCCCATTTACATGGAAAGAAATAAGAGATAGCAATCAAACAACAAATTCAAAGTTCAATTCCAGTGCAGGAGATTTCAGAAAAGAAGCCGGAGGCACATTCGAATACTACCTTGCTTAATGTCTAGGAATGAAAAGAAAACTGGTACATAAGGTTCAGTGCATGTTTGGTTTAGCTTAAATTTTAGGGAATAATTGCACTTGTTGTTTTATTACAAGCCATATTTTGACCCCAAAGTAAACTAAACCAAAAATACACCTAATCTTGAAACTTGTAAAGTACAAGACAAGTTTAAATCAATGGAAGGACACAACTTAGATACATTTTTATAAGTGTTTTTGGTATTGTTCTTCAATCTGAATTAAACATCAGCAATTTCTGTAATAAAAGTTTCTATTAAATACATCTAGCATAAGTCATCATCATCAAGGTAAAATTCTAATTTTGATTAGAAAATAATACCAAAAACACCACTAAGTAACTAATTGCATCTAACTTTTGTCCTTAAACAAGACCATACCCAAAATGTATAAGAGTAAATAATTGGGTGGTGGAGAGAAGAAGGAAACCTAAGCTACCAGCTTGAAGCAATACTCAACAATCGATTATACACATAAATTGGGGACATTCATAGTCAAAAACTACCATGATAAAGTTGTTGATTTTTACAATAATTACCTTAAAAATCATATCAACTGATATTTGTGAGAAGCTAATAGTGTAAAATTATGTACGACAGACTCATTACATGACTATTCAACTTAATAATTTTTCATGATCTCCAATGCACTAAGCAGAACATAATTAATTAACATGGCAGCCATAAAATATTATAAAAAATTGATGATTCCAAACAAAGCAGAGAAGAAAAGGGGCACTCACGAGCTGTGGCGATATTACTGTGGGCAAAACAGAGCGAGAAGCTTTCTTGGCTCGCTTAGACACTTTCTTGAACATGCTCTGCAAGAATCTGATCAACAAATCCACACTACTCTCTGCATCCTCCTCATCACTCTCATCTTCAACTCCATCATACTCATAACCCGCTTCATCCATAACATATGGCTCTCCCCCGCCCGAACTATTTAGCTTCACAAAAAAGAAATGAAATACAATTGAGTCACTATTTACATAAAATATATGATATCATATCATCTATGTATATAATATATACCTTGCCATGGCAATTGGTGATTATGGGCTTTAAACTGTGGTGGAGGCAGAATCTGGAATAAAAGGGTTGGTGAGGAAAGCGAATATTGTTTGCAGAGAAGTGACGAAGCTTCGAGGAGTCTATAAGATTGATTAACGGTGGTGCAGTTGCAGTAGCTCCTGCCATTGGAGACAGAACATGGATTTTTTTTTTTTTTAATATTGGGTTATTATCTTTTTGAGGAGCCAACCTTAACTGCTGGTAATGTTTTTCATGTATTCTTATTGGACTTCTCTGTCTTTTGCTCTCTGAAACAAATGGGCTTGAATTTTAACCCAGCCCAAATAGGTGAAACAAGTTGGGTGTCCCTGTCCCAACCAACTCGTCCTATTCTATTTTAATTTATTTTAATTATTATTATTATTATTATTGAATGAATATATATACAAAAGTTGATTATTTTTTCTCAATATAAAATATTTATAACATTATTATAGATTATAATATTATATTCAAATTATATATATAAATTAATTATTCTTTAAAATTGATATTTTAAAATATTATTAAATATGAAATCTATAGATTATAATAAGTTAATTTTTATTTAATTAATATAAAGTAATAAATGTTTAATTATTAATTATTAAAAATATAATTATTTAATTAAGATAAACTTTAATATTTTATACATAAAGATAGTAAAATCTAGAAAGCACATAAAATACAAATAAAATATTACTACATGCTATTAAGATTAATATACGATATTTAGAAAACGATAAAAATAATTGTGTTTATCAAATTAATTGAAGAGATTTAAAAAAATAAAATTAATTAAAGAGAAAATGTGAAGGAGGAAATGATAAAAAAAATTAATAATGCATTAAACTAATTAGTTAAGAAATTGAAAAAAAAATTAAAAAGTTAAAAATGGACAGAAAAAAAAACGTGAAATAAAAAAGAAAGGTAGTTATAAATGATGTGAGAAAAAAAATTACTTTAAAAATATTAATATTTTAAAGATTATATATAAATATATAAAGTAAGCCAAAATCGAAACAAAGATTATATTACCGATTCTTACTCCTGTTCTTAATTTTTTTTAAAACGTAAAAAACTCGAAATCACGTTTCTCAGCTCAATTTTTTTGGTTGAGGATAATTTATTTTGGGATAAGTTATCAATAAACAATTATATATATAGGAGGGGAGAGATAGTTGAAAAAAATTTAGCATTGATTAATGAAACATTTTTTTTTAAAATAGCATATTGAATATTCTTATCAGCTGTTAAGCATATACATATTTTAAGTAACATAAATAATTTTGTATTAACTTTTTTAGTAATGATTTCAAGGTTGTCAATTAGTTGACTCAATATATTTTTTTAATATATCCTAATTTGGTCTATCAAACATGGTTAAAATACTTAAGCGTTCATCATGTATATCAAATTTCCCATGACTTGCATTGGTTTCATGAACTTATTGAGGAATAAATCATTTGGATAAAAAAAGTTAGTTGATAATCATGAAGATTAATATTTATAATGTATTGTTAATTGATGAATCATGTGATTAATATTAGTAAAGAATATTTAAACAAGAGGGGTGGTAAGTTTTGAAGTGTTGATGTAAGGGCTTAGACAGAAGGAAGGTGAAGCTATCTATAATGAAAGAAGCTTGCAAGAGAATGATGTTCCCAAGTGCCACTTTTAGTACTGTGAGCATATTTGGGTAATGGGTGATTAAGGATTGAGTGCATGCGTTTGTACCCAAAAATCTAGTGGTTCCTTTCCACAGAATCATGCACTGAGTTCCTTATGACCCTTGTGTTTGCGACACACGTCACACTTATTCCACTCCCAGAACAATATTATAAATCACATGTAACTGTAGGGGAGCATTTGACAAACTTGTTGTGTACGAATCCATAAAAGAAGAACACATATTCATCATGCAAGGTAAAATCTTGTTGCCTCTATCATGCTATATTGGGTTATATTATTCCTATTATCACCCTTGAGTGTTTTTCCTTCTAATCTCTGCCCTGTTCCAAACGCAAAGAGATGTTAAACACTGATCAAAATTTCGTACTTAGACAAACACCCTCACGAAATATGTTGTTTTTAGGATTAATAGAGGATGCATGTATGTGCAATATATAAAACGCTAATACATAGCTCTTCAAGTTCAGCATGCAGAAAATGCAGAAAAGCTAAAATCTAAATATAGAAATCCTATAAGACTTATGCAGAAAATGAAAGTATATGAAGCTGAATAATTTTTGTTTCATTCATCGAATCCAACCTTGGAGATGAAAGCAATGGTTGATCACTTCACCGCTGTCACTAGCCATAGATGCAAAAAGATTAGCCTTTTTTATAACAAATCCACTAAGATACGGAAAATCCAGTAATGTAGGCATAATCTTTGGCTTCCACTGTCCCTATATGTTTTCCAGTCTTGCATTAAATATCTCCCATTACCCACTTCAAGGATATATTCTCTTCGGTAAATGCATAGCTATACATGTTTAAGTTCCACTTTCTTCAACTGTTTGATTTGATTTTGGTGCTAACAATGATTATTATTAATTGGCCAATAGGTGTTTTTCATGATTAAACTTCATGGATGGTCTCATGGACATGCTATTCTTTGTTTCGCTCATATTTACCATCTGGCTCGCGAATTTTGGAACATGATTTAACAAAATCTTCTGTAATGAAGACTAACAAATGTGTGTTCATGTATCTTTCAGCATTCAATAATATTAATTGCACACAAATGGGTATCTGTTTTAACAGGTTTAAAAGGGATGATACTAATAGAAAACGTGCATCTAAGTCACAGAAGAATATGTAATTTTATGTTTGAATCTATATGTAATTGTAACGTTCAGAAGGAAAATTGTGATATATACAGAGGAAGATATGTTATTCAGGATATGTAACATGTTTGAATTGTTCACTACTTTAAATAATCATGAACAAGATGATAGTTACAAACTCAGAAAAATAGCAATCAAATAAAACTGGTTATCTACATACCTTAGACCATTTGATCCTGTTAGACTTGAGCCAGTAGCTAGAGGTATACATATATAAATGAAAAGTAGGAGACAAAGTGTAGCCTAGTTATATATATACTAAACAAAAAGACTTATGTCACTTGAAATTGAAACTGATATATAGAATAACTTACGTATTCATTATCCTTTAGACCAGCATAGGCTTTGGTTGTAGCCTCTACTGACAGATACACCCAAGATTCGTATAGACAGAATTAGGAAAATTCATGATTTAGTCAATTGAAAAGTTTATTTCACTTAATTGGTTCTGAATTCAAAATGATCCTGTTATCTGATTTAGAATCTGTACTGTCTCACTAATTTATCCTTTACTAACCTGTTATATTCAATTCTTCTAATGTAGGATAAGTTTTAATTTAAATCTATAATTAAAACTAATTTAGATACTTTTTTTTTACCTTCGAACCCAAGTGCCGGGTCACATGTTTTTTACAATCTTGATTAGTCGTGTTTCTTTTATACACACTTCTACACTATACATATATATTAATTATAAGTTAAAAAAAAAACATTTTACATTATTTATTCATTTATAATAGATTCTCAAAATGAATAGGATAAACACAGGATATTCAAATAAATATAAGATCTTCTCACAATGAATAACCCATTTATCTCAACAACCACTCAAAGTCGAGATAACACTTGTGATATCAACTAAAACACCAAATATGAAAAATGTATCGGATTTGAGAAATAAGAAGTGTGGTGAAGGAGGAAGGTGTATAGAGGAAGAGACATATGGAGAGATAAGAGGTATAAGATGGAGGAGAGAGCACCACCAGGACGAGAATGAAGAAAATGGAGGATAATTACATCACTAACACGAACAATGGCAAAAAGAAAGGGAGAGATTAAAGATAATAGGGCGAGAAATATGACGATAATGAAGGGACAAGTACGATGACAATTAAATTTATATGTGTGGGATGTGTCTAGTCCAAATTTTACTTGAAAAAAATCAAATAATAAAATTCTCACTTTAATCTCGTTTCATTCACAATAATTTTATAATTAAATTTAAATATTAAAATATTAATATTTTTAAAATATTTTTTTATCATATTTTATATAATGTTATTTTTTTATATTTCATAATTTTTATTTTTTTTATCTACTTTTCACTCTTATCTTTTATTTTTTTTCAATCTCTTAAATCAATTAGTCTATCACATTATTATTTTTCTCTTACTTTTTACTTTCATATTTTTTTAATCTCTTTCCCACCTTTTCAACCATTTTAAAAATTATAAAGTTAATTTTTCTTCTTCTTTATCTTCTAATTTATCTTAATTAAATTTTATATATCATATTTTTTAGATTTTATTATTTTTATTTATCATATATCAAATTTTATCTTAATAAAATAATTATATTTTGAAAAATTTTAAAAATTAATAATTAACATTGATATTACTTTGACTAATTTTTTTTAAATTAATGATTAAAATTGATATTACTTTAACCTAATTAAATAATAATTAACTTATATGTAATTAAATATTTGAATAGAATATTATTATTATTATATAAGTATTCTTAATCCGTATAAAGAAAAAAATAATTATATATATAATCATTAATATAAATATATTAAATTAAAGTATGTATTAAATTAATAATAATTAAAAATTATAAAATTATAAAAATTTGTTTATATATAAAAAATATAAAAATATATTAAAATTATTTTACTACAAGTATAATTTTTTTAAGAATAATATATAATAGAACGGAATGAAGAAATCCAAAATTGAATAAAAACATGGAAACTTAATTTTTAACCTAAGACAGAGACAAAAATGATTAAAAAATTGAGAACAAAAATTGGGGAAGCAGAACCTAGTTGTATTCAAATATTTGATATATAAGTTACTATTTTGTAAGTTATCATTTTAAAATATTTATAAATAAAAAATATATAATTTATAAAAAATTAATAAGTTAATTAGTATTTAATTAATTTAAAGTAATAATAATTTTAATTATAATTTTTTTAATCCTTTAAAATATAATTATTTTATCAAAATAAAATTTAATATATAATAAATAGGAATAATAAAATATAAAAAATAAAATTTAATAAAAATAAATTAAAAATAAATAATATTAGCTACTTCTAAATTTTCCTAAATAATCAATGTAATATATATTTTCTAACTAGATACATTTTTCATACGTAACTGATATAATATGTATGTCATTTATTACATTAATATTTAAGAAATTGAAATATATATATATATATATATATATATATATATATTATATATAACATAACTAAAGTAGTATATATATATATATATATATATATATATATTTTTTATAGTAGTTTGTTAAACATTAAATTTATATCAATTATTGGTATTTTTTATATAAATTATTTAAAAAATAATATTGTTTATGCGTTTTATATTAGGAACATTTCTTGTGCTTAAAGTCAATAGAATTGATATTTGTAAGAACTTGGAAAGATGAAGATTTGTAATTATCTTTTGCATGATCGGGTATATAAGTGGTCAATTTCAATCCTAAACAATAGTAAGGAAAATGAGTTATATGGTAGGAAGACTCAAAAAACTATGGAAAGATGTGCAGTATTATTTAAAACTAAAAAGGAAAGCATTTCTATTTTCTCGTTGTATCTATTAAGAGAAACAAAAAGTTATCATTGCATTTTATGATGACATGATTTTTATATCGTGGTAGGAGAATGTTGTTCTAAATACACTAGTTAGTTTCTCTATTTATTTAGTTATGGGATAAAGTGTTAGAAGATTTTGACTACTTATGAATTCAAGTCATGCCTTTCCAACCCATGTTTTTTTTTTGGCTGATTAGAAAATTGTTAGGATTTGAGAGAGATATGTCTTATCTTTTGAATAATTGAATATAATAATGGTTAATTTAAATACTAGACAAGTTATAAGATAGCGAGAATTAAAAAATTAAAAAGTATTTAAAAGTAAATTGATAATCAATATTCCTAATTTCTGACTATATCTATTAGGAAGTTACTTTTACATATCATGTTGACGTGATTTTTATATTAAATTGGTAGGAGAATGTTATTCCAAAACACACTACCTAATTTCTCTATTTATTAATGGGATATAAAGTGTTACAAAGGATGTTTTGATATATTAAACTAAGATTAATTTTGACAAGGCAGATCTCATTTTTTGCTTTAAACTATGATTTTGTATGAAGTACCTAAATCCCCTCTCTCACCACTAGGCCTAGTAATATATATTTCAAATACATATAATGATTGAAAATAAAAAATATCTTAAAAAAATGGTCCCTGAGTGAAAATGCTAACACAAAATCTTTTGAAAAAAAAAGGAATATATGTGATGCATTATGTGGCCATCTTCTAGATGAACTAGTCACTGTGTTTTTACTGATAAAATATTCGTGCAAACCAGAGAAGCTGCCAAATGAATGAATGAGCGAATGAGCTTAAGGTGGCTACGACAACTCAGGACATTACAACTCTGGAATTCGATTAACTTTGGTAGATGTCCGCAGGTATAAATCACTGTCATGTGTGTCAAATATACGTATATGTAATAATATTCCACACCTCAAAAACATGTGGCATAGGCAAAGCAAGAGCATCAGTTCCTAAAGCTTGTTAGAGTAGTAGTAATCCATTACTTGCTGCTATGAATAACTAAGTTATATCCTCTCTGTATCTTCAACCTGAAGCTATTACAGTAAAAAGCATTGGATTCTCCAACAAAAATCACTTTTGGTTTTTCATTATTGTAAGATTCATGCATAATGGATAAGACAAAATGTGCCATATTCTTCCGCCATAAGGAGTATTAAGATGTGGGACGTGCCATATATATTCCCCTGATCACACCCCTCATTCAAAGGAACCTGCTTCTGTTTGTAATCTATTCTATAGTTTCTTTTACAACGAATCTTCTTAATGCTGCAAACTAATCTCTCACAATAACATTTCTTTAAAGAACTGATGCATGTCTCTTGACAAATCTTTTTTAATTATACAAATCTAGACTTAATTGTATATTTTACTATTTTCATTTTGCAGCCACAACAATTAAGAGTGGTTCACACCATACATAATAAAGCATATATGTATGTGGGCCACTTTTTTTTTTTTTTTTTTTTTTGTGAGCATATATGGTATTTAAAGATGGCAACATACTTTGATGAATAAGTGTTCAAAGTACAGGATTTGAGAAAAGTGATGAAGAGAGAGGATTTGAGAGAAAGTAGAGAATTTTTTTTTCTGCTGTAATGTGTTTAAATATTATAACGGGTAATCTACTAATCTTGTAGTGCAATGAAGATAAAAATTAAAAATTGAAAAAATTATAATATTATACTAGTCCAACATGAATTTCCATAAAGACAATATTCACCTTATTTTAAAGAAATGATAGTTTTTTAATATGAGCTTCTTGAATAAGCTAAAGCAAATCTGCACAAGTACAAAACTAATGCACGGGTTAATTTGAAGCCATGGCTTGTCCTCTTTTGTCATTAGCAATCATGGAGAAGAATATTGAATGGCCACAAAATCTAACATGTTTACAGTATAATCTTATTTATTTTCTTTGTTTCTGTACTTTTTTATTCTTAATTTACTTTTTGAAGCTTTACTTTATGGGTCAAATTAGTGTAGACTCATTGCTCCTTTTTCAATCGCACGTTACTTGATTTTATTTTGTGTTTGTCGTAGCTTATGGCTTAACAAGTTTCAGTCCAAGAGAGAACCAAATATTCCAATTGCAGCTTTCGTAACTTGAATTTTTCTTTTCCCTCTAATTTATGCACTCCAAATGCTTTTCTTTACCATGATATATAATATTGGGAAAATTCTCATGTGAGGGATCTTCCTTTTTATGCTACTTAAGAGTCCATCGCTAATAATACACTAAATTTTATTCATTTATAATAATTTCATGAAAGTGAAAACTCGATACTCATTTTTATTCCTCTAAACTATCAGGACAATACATATAAATTCGTAGGATAAAAGTTATAAAATTATAAAGTTATCGTGAGAGCCATCAATACACGTAATAGATGTAGAATTGAGAATAAATTAAAATTTTAGGGGGCCCAAACCTACAACATAGATCCGTGCTTGCTCAAAGTGTGTGTGAGTGTTGAATTTTAAAGAGAAAATCAAGACAAAAGTTTCATTTATAATATATATTTTGTATTTAATAAATGAAAGAGTAAAATAACAGATAAATATAACTTAAATGTCTTGTTCTTTTTATTTGAGGTTTTGCTTGAGAGGAAAAATAATTTGTTTTTGAGTTTCGCATAAGAAAAATTCCTCCAAATGTGGGGAATATATTCGTTGTATTTGATTATTTTGTTGTGTTTTTTCAAAAATTAAATAGTTTTTCATGAAAGAAATAAGAATTAGGCTAGAAAAATATTTATTTAATTAAATTTGTATAATTTTCTTTATTTATCATTAAACCTTTCACCCATTAAAAAAAAAACTTTTTCTTGATTTCTAATACATTTGTATTCTATTTTTCTCGTTAATATGTATTTTATATATAAAAAAATTGACAAAAAAAAAACTCATTTTATTTCATTTTTCATAATATGTTGATTAAAATTTAATATTGTAGAGAAAAAAAATATTAAGTTAAATAGACTCAATTATTTTCATGCTTGCATTTCACTTATTCGTTCTAACTCGTTTTTCTTGTGGAGCTAAACCGAATTCACTCGATTTCTTTTTCAATCATAAATTAAATAACCTGATATATATATATATATAGAGTGGCCCATCATATTGAAACATTTTTTTTTTTGGCTTTGTGTAAAAAGTTGACATGTCTAATCTTGTCTAGAAGAAAACAACATAACTAGGTCACATTTCTTATAAAATCTAATTAATTAGTATCATGAAGAATAACGATTACAGAATGAATAGTAAAACGTTTAAATTAAAAGTCAAGTTGAAAATAATGAAAAAAAAAATTAGCATGGCATGTATTATATATGAGGCATTTTGATGTTGGATATAAATTCAAATTTTATTCGACTTATATGCTTTGTTTGGGGTTCCATTGAGGATTCGAGAGAGAGAGAGAGAGAGTATAACATAAGACTAGAGGCAAGGCAACCTATTATTTTCCTTTTACTCCATTGTACGTAAAGAATGACAGGATAAGGAGTCTTTTGGCACCGTAGTTGCATGAAAATACACACTCTCACACCAAAGCAAAAGAATTGTGTCGTATTGGGACCTTTCTCCGTATAAAGCAAATCAAGGGTTGTCTCCATGTCACGCTCGATTCCAAACCAGCTAAGCCCCTCTCTCTCAGTTCGAGAAAGTGCAACATAATCCCTCCAACCTATAAAGAAAACCAACCACACCCTTAATCCTTCGCAGTAAAAAAAGTTCTTCCCTTAACTCACCCCTTCTCTCCCTCTATACCCTCTCTTCTCTTGTCTTCTTCTCACCATTCCACTTCAATCATCATGCAATCATAGTAACAACAATAACCTTTTCTGTTTTTTTCTTTTCTCTTCATCCATGTCTCACACATCTTCCTCCTATCCTATCACATAAACATATATATAAACATAGACACATATAAGCATTAGAAGAGAAAGAAAAAAACTTGCATATGGGTACTAGTACTAGAACTATTAGTAGGTTTTTCCTTCCAAGGTTCTTTAGAGCACTTCTTGTGGTGGGGCTTGTTTGTCTTCTTGTTTTGGGAAGCTTAGGTGGTGGTGAAGGAGCTAGACAACAAACTAAACAATGGTCCGAAGAAAGGGTCAAGCATGGGAGAGTGGTTGGTAGAGATATGCCTGTCAACCGTGCAGAATTGGACTTCAACTACATGAGCAAAAGAAGAGTTCCCAATGGACCAGATCCTATTCACAACAGGTTTCTATTGCTTTTCTTGACCCAAATAAGATTCACATATGATGTATTTTGTTTCTCATGCATGTGTGCCTTTTGTTTTCAATGTGTTACTCTGTTTGTTACTTAATTCGATCTGTTTTACTTTTCTGCAACGTTTTCTGCCACCAAGACATGCATTACTTTTGATAACAAGCCATATTACGTATATATGTAGTAAGTTTAGAATATGATTATATTATATTGTTGGAAATTGAAGTGTGAAAGAAAAAGGAATGTACAAACTACAAAGTAAGGACCATATAAATATCATATATAAATGTTTGGAGCGTTTGTGGCTCCCCTGTTTCTGTCATGGATATGATATCACTCTGTTACTTTTCTAGTACTTCTCTTTTCCCCAACTCAATCTAAAATTTTCATTGGATATTTTTCATATATAGTACTACACTACAATGGGGTTGTTTGGTTCCACGTCACTTTGTGATTTCTATGTTTTAAGAAGTTAACAATTATTGCCTTCACATTTAAGACGTGATTCCTTACTTCTTAAAAGGTTTCAAAACACGTCTTTTTTCATCAATTTCAAGTTTAGTGGTTCCTGCTAAAATGAAGCTTAACAAAAAAAGGATGAAAAGCTAACTATAGGGGTTGGTTACCACCACGCTTTTAACTGTTACATTGAATTGTTGATTTAAATTATTTCAACATGGGTACTTCTTTATAGTAGATTAATGCATAAACCCATTAAAAAGATAAAGTATATAGCTAACAACTTTATTCCACTTCTTAATTAATCATGAGCCACTAAAGTTATTCAAGTCATTCGGTTCTCTTCATTAAGAAACTTTTAACCTTTTCTCGGTGTCTTTCGTTATTTCTTTAAGCGTGCATGGAGACTTGCTATAAATTATGATACTATCTTGTCTAGGCATTTTCTTCTATAAATTGGATTAGTTTCCATCCAATATTATTCAGCTAAGGTCTAAGGATTACTTTGCTTAAAATATTGTTTGATAATTGTGTTCAGAAGAGCTGGAAATTCTGGTCGACCTCCTGGCCAAGCCTAGGAACATGGGAGCAAGACAAGCTTCAGCAACCTTGCAGAAGATGACAGAATATGTTAATTAGCCATGTACTTGTGAGAAGTGAGAGTATATATATCCCTGACCCTGAGCTTCTTAGAATTGTAGCTTGCAAGCAAGGGCTAATCTCTAACTTGCGGAAATTAATTCGTTGTGGGAAGAGTTGTTTGTGGCTCCAAAGTGGGAGAAAAAGAAAGGAAGCTTGTCCCACAGAAAATAAGCTCAAAAGATAGTTTGGTCAGTTTCTACAGAAACTGCAATTGAGTGAGTGTTTTTGTGTTTTGAACTTGTTGTGATATGAGAGGGTGGGGGGGCAGTGTCACAAATTTCAATGGAATTGAGATCAGTGCTTGCATGTAAAGCAATTAACGTACCTTTAAAGTTTAAAAGCCAGAAAGATGTATGTACAAGATGTTGTAGCAACAGCAGCAGCCATGCATGCTTTTGGAGGACTATACAAGTCTTGTATGTTAGGGGAAAAAACAAAGAGTCTTGGCTTTGGCTTTGGTTTGCACACTACTAAGTTTGGTGATTTCTATTTTAGTTTTTTATTATTATTTGTTGTAAAGATTAGCCATGAGTTCCTAAAGTAAAAGTAAATTCCACCATTTAAAGGTGTTGGCGCACCTGTAAAAGAAGGGCGATTGCATCTTGTGTTAGTCTTTTTCACTAGATTCTTTGGTGGGGGTGGTGAAACTGATTGGTCTTTGGTCCATTCAAACATTTTAAACTGTGTTAGATTCCTATTATATCTCAAAAAAAGAGAGCAAACAAACAAACGCTATTCAATGTTTTAAAGTGAAAAGAAAAACTAAAGGATGCCCTGAACTCAAGCATTTTTCTGGTGTTCTGCTTTTTCCCTTTACATTGGATTGAGAAGCAAAGAATGTGGGCAAAGCAAGTGAGATTCAAATTGGGACATTTACCAAAAAAGGAAAAAAATAGAGATAAATAATTTTGAACTTGTGTTTTTTCTTGAGATTTAAGATAGGTAAACATTGCTAGTGCTCCACAATTTTTCTTCTTCATGCATTTGTAGGAAAATATGTATAAAAAAAGCATAGCTTATGTAATGCTAATAGTCCCAAGAAAGGTTTACTTTTATGAACAAGACCAATAAAATAAATATTTGTTGAAAAGTGACTATTATATATACACTTTCATATTCATATTTTATACTTATTTCATACTTTTCTGACGTTTTCTTTCCTTCTAAAAAATGTCCCATTTTTCATTGGCCTAATAATCCAAATTATTTTGTAAATAGAATGTAACCCGGAAAGAACGTGAAAATTTTGATTCTTTGTTAAAAAAAGTGATAGTAGAAGGAGGAAAAACCAAGTTCAAGTCATTCAGTTGCATGTGCATATAAGCATAAGCAAAGAAACTAAAAATAATAATAAAATTATTTCTCATTAAAAAATAAATTTCATGAATATTTTAAAATATAAATATAAGAAACTAAAAAATAAAACACTACTTCAACTGATATTGCATAAAATGTTACAAATTACTAAAATAAACTCATTTATCAAATGCTCAAACATTTCTTGACTACTAATTAAGCTTGATATATTCTAGAAATAGTCTTAAAGTGCTTTTTTTTTCTTTTGACTTGAAAAAATTGTACATTTTTTTCTTGAGACAATGAAAATCATTATCATAACTTACATACAAATTTTATTAAATTTAACTATTATTATACACTTTTAATAATTGATTAAGGGCATAATAATAATAATAATAATATCAGTTATATCACAAAATATTAAAAAATCAATATTAAATTCAATCAAATATAAATTATTTAAATATAATCATACTTTTCTTAATGTATAATATTATTCCTGTTTTTTTTTAATTATTATATTTGCATGTCATATTCTACCTAATGCATGTTTCTACACTAAAGTTTAAGACAAATATTTTTGCTGTGAGATAAGTAGCACAAGTGTTACGAGTATCTTCTTTCATCAGATTTTTTTTTTTAAATTATAAAATAAAATATTATATGGATTCTTAAAATTGAAAAAAAAAATGTTTATAAGTAGCTCTCATACAATTTTAAAATACTTATATTTATGAAATTCATATCAAAATAGTATTTTTATTAATAATTTTTTATCTAAACAATTCTTCTTAGAATAAAGTATGGTCACATTAAGATAAATATATAAAATGAAAACATTGATCTCAAAATAAATATATACAAAAGAAATAAATAAAAAAAACGATTCCGTGTGTACATACAAGAAGAAATCTTTTATATAGAAGTTATTTTTAAATTTCTTATCAAAAAAATAAATTTCATTATTAATTAAATTTATCAGATTAAATTAAAGTAATGAACACTAGTCTCACTCATACAATATAACATATGAGATAAAGAGGTTTCATTTGTATAAGGTGAAGGTCAAAATTATTCATACAAAACAACACATGGTAATAAGTTAAATGTATTTTCTATTATTATAACTATTATTTTAAGTTTTATATTGCATATGAAAAAAATGTTCATTTTATAATAAATAAACATTTACTAATAGATAGAGTTTATTATATCAAAATTCATTACAAGTAAATAATTTTTCAAAAAATTATAGTTCATATTTAGAATAAATAATTTTAATTGTGATATAAAATAATTATTAACAGTTAATGATATTAAAAAAAAAAACATTCAGCTTAAAGATTGTGATATAATGGGGATAATTAAAATGATTGAGAATATTTATTTTTTCACTTGTTATAGAGTAGTGACTGAAATGCACACCTAATGAATGAGAAAAATAAAAAATAATTTAATTAAAATAGAGAAAGTAAAAGTGTCACTTCTTAAATTATATAATCTAATTGATAATATAAATGATATACAGCACCTTAAGTCTGTTTATTCAACCATCTTAATTTTATCTCTTTTTTAATCAAGATTGAAGAAAATTTTATCTTATTCAATATAACCAACACTCCAAATATCCTTTTAAATATTTTATGTGTTGTTTGGTTTTATATTTATTTTTTGTTTTTGATAACTAATCATATTCCATATCACTGGTAGACTAATTTGATGTGATTTTTTTTCTTGTAATTAAATTTTATCTTGAACCTTAAGAATGTGAAATAAATAAATTTAGTTTGATAAATTGGTTCCAAAGTTCTCATAAATATATTAAAAAATATATTTATAGTTTAAATAGAATCAAACCTATTTATTAATTATATTATAACTTACAAAAATAAAAGATATCTAACATTACCAACCATTTTATAAAATAATAATTTTATTTAAAATAAAATAAAAAAATATTGTTATTTAATTAAAAAATATATGTATTATAAATTATTTTGATAATTAATTTACTTATTTTAATAATAAATATTAAAATAAAATTCTCATAATCACTTATTTTAATATCTAATAATTAAGATTAATTATTACTTTAAATTAAATTATTAAAAAATAATAATAATGATAATGAAAAAAAAATTAACTCTTATTTTAAAATTGAATGAAGATTTTCTTATAACTACATTAAATAAATAAATAAAAATTAATTTTTATTAATATAATTTAATTTTTAAAAATATATTTTTTATTTTATTTAAAAATAAAGTTTTCATTGCACTATTAACCTAAATTAGACTAAAAATTATAATCAATTTTAAAATATAGATTAACCTAATTTTAATCTAAGGCAGACCCTACTAAACAATTAAACCATGTCTAAGTCAAATAGATTTTCTTCAATATGTTATTTAATGTATCAAGTTATTTAGGAATATATTTTTGAGAAAATTTTAAATTTTGAGACTAATTGAATAAAAATATTTAAAAGACTCATATAATGATAATAAGTAGAAGGATTTTTTATTCCATTTATTTTGATTTTTTATAAAATAATATTTTTAAATAAAAATATAAATAAGTTTAATTTTAACTCAATAAAAAAATGAATTAAAAAACTAACATTTTTATTAAATTTGATTGATGTGACTTTTCTTATAAAAAAATTATTGAATAATTTTTATAAAAAATTGTTCAATATTTTATAGTGAAAAATTATAAAATAATAATATATTATTGTAATTTATTTTATATTTATAAATAAATTACATTTTATAATTAAAATTATAATTAATTTTTTCTATAATATTTAATAAATATAAATATATCATAAATAGAATATATAAATTATAAAATAATATTAAAAACATAATAATGTGTATTTTTTACTTAATAATTAATTTTAAACATATATTTATTTAATATAATAAAAAAATTAATTTGATTTTAGTTTTTAATTAAAATTGAATTATGTGATTTGAAAATATTAGATAACAAATATTAATAAAAATATTTTTAATATAATTTATTTTTTTATTTTGATTGTGATTATAATAATAATAATGGTAATAATTAATAATAATAATTCATGTAACTTGGCAAAATTAATTTGCAGTTCTTTTAATGTATTTTAACACATTTATGCAAGCCCAGACGTGGTTCACCTCAGATGAAAGTGAAGAGGCCGAAGCCCAGTCTGAAACTACAATTAAAATAAGGTTGTTGTAGTTTGACACAATATAGTTTCAAACTAGTAAATGTTTTTAAATTATCTATCAGTATTATAATATTTTAACGTATAAGAACGTTAACTTTGTTTTTTATTTTAAAAATATTAAAAATAAATAAATTAAGATATTATACTTTACGTTGTTAAAATAAAATTAAATATTTTCTGACGTTATTAAATATGTAAAGAAATATTTAATCGAAAATAAGGGTAAATATCTATCTATCTATATATATATATATATATATATATATATATATATATATATATATATATATATCAAAAGTAAATTAAGTAATCAAGTTTTATGTTACAATTTTATATTGTAAAAACATATCAATAAATTTGTGAGTTAAAAAAATGGAGTAAGTTGTTGTCTGTTTTAAATATATTCAACCATTCAACTCTACCTATGTAATATGAAAATTACAAAGTTAAATTCATTTCTGGTGACTGAAAAAGATAGTTTATTTTTTAACTCTTATAATCCAGATTTTATCCAATATTTTCTAAAAATAATAATTTAAAAAATAAACATAAAAAAAAATTAAATAATATACAAACAATAAAATAAAAACACAATTTATACAGTCAGTCAGTCATAACCATTCACAATAAAAACACAATTTTTATAATAATTATTTTAAAAATCATATAAACTATAATTCTAATTGATTAATATAACTATAATTTTTTTACCAATATTATAAACTCATAACCATTAAACTTTAAAACACATATCCTTTAAAAAAATGCACAAAAGCATTCAATAATATTTTTAACAAAATTTAATGTCATTTCATTTGTGTTTGAGTTTCATTTGATTAGGTTCTGGAAGGCAGGTTTCCCCCACACCTTCCCGGCAATTTCCCTTTTCCTTTCTTCCATTGGCAGATTATTAATTAAATCAATTTAAACCAAATAACATAATACAAAAATTAAAAATGTGTTATACTTATTTCTGATAATTTTATTTTTTAAGTCTCCATCGATTGCTTATTGTTTTTCTGTTTTGCACACATAAAATTGAAAAAAAAAAAAAGAAAAAAGAAGAATACTGAGAGAAACAAAGAAGAAAAGAAAAAGACAGAAACAAACACGGTGTGCGGAACCAAATGAAATGATTGAGAAGAGAGCCAGGAAAAAGAGCCAAACCCCATCGTCTCCAAAACGGTTCGTTTTGCCCTTCTCGCATCGGAACCCTCCCATCCGCGACGCTTTTCGGGTCGCCGTCGACGGTTCTCCTATTGGACTAGCTTGAATCGAACACCACCGATCTGTTTGGAACTTTGGATCTCGGATCTGACCGATTGAAACGATGCCGTCTCACGTGGATCTGGACCGGCAGATCGAGCACCTCATGGAGTGCAAGCCTTTGCCGGAGGCGGAGGTGAAGGCGCTGTGCGATCAGGCCAGGGCGATTCTCGTCGAAGAGTGGAACGTTCAACCGGTGAAGTGTCCTGTCACCGTCTGCGGCGACATTCACGGCCAGTTTTATGATCTCATCGAACTTTTTCGGATAGGAGGAAACGCTCCCGATACGAACTACCTTTTTATGGGCGATTATGTAGGTCAGTTTCCTCTTCAGATGCTTCTATTTTTTGTTTGATCAATTGATTCCGTGAGCTGAATTTCATGTAGTTAGGGTTTGATTTGTTTCGTTATAGGGTGAAATGTTTGTGATGTGTTATAATTGAATTTATTATACAGCCTGGTGTTGGATTTGGGGAATAACTTTTTTGTTTTCATTCTATGCTACTATGTTTTTTTGTGCTTTTCATGCCGTTTTTATCTGTTATAGACTTTGATTAGCGTTTTTTTTCCAAAAAAAATTAGTTGCTTGTATCGGTTTGAAGATTAACTGCTACTGACCACGGTTGGGGTAAATTGGCAATTTAAGTACTAGTTGTTTACATATATATATATATATATATATATATATATATATATTTAGGGATTTTTTAAGGATGTGCCGTGGTCAGCTAGTTGGAATCTTTTTTTTTTTTTTTTTTTTAATTTTCGTGATGTCATGGTTGTTTGCTTTTGTGGGTTATTATTTTACTTGACTTGTGTAAATTTATTTATGTGTCCGGGTTTTGTGTTGTGTGTTTAACATTGACTTCGGTTTTGAATCTACTATATAAATATCGAATTTATTGAATTTTGAGCTCCTTGTTTTGGTTATGTGCTAAATTAATATTTGTTGAAAGTAGAATTGTTAGGTGAAGCTTATTGTTCTTCTGAGCCCTTCCTGTTTTTCTGCTAGTATGATTGCCTTGTGTCAGTGATAAAATTTTGCTAATGCTTGGTTTGGAATTAGAAGTGTAGTTATTGGATTTTGTTACGTGGTATGGTTTTTGTTCAGTGTGAAGTAGGTTGGTGCAACTGAATGAGGTATTGAGATGTTGGTGTAAGCACTAAATATTGAATAAACTCGTGATACTTCTATGCTTGTATGTTAGAGGAGTGACGGCAGAAGGAGCAAATTGTTTATACAACTGTGGATGTACAAATGAAACTGAATTTTGTATGAACATGAAAGGATTTTATAGGATTTAATGTCGGCTAGAACTGAAGGTCCATGATGTTTTTAATTAGCCAGTCCTTAACAAATTTTGCTGGGAGCATAAAAACTATTACAAGTGATTCTGTTTGTATCAATACTGGGTACTGTTATAGTGTGGCTTTGAGGGAAGGATATGAGGCACGACAACTGCAAGATTTGAGGATGTTACAGTTACAGATATAATAAGCTGCCAACAATGACTACTATCACCTTTTCTTTTTTTCCGTCATGCTGCTTTTAATGATCTTCAAATTAGACTTTTTTATTTGTGAGCACTGTTCATAATAATGATACTGGCTAAATTTATGCAGATCGTGGCTACTATTCAGTGGAAACTGTTACGCTGTTGGTGGCCTTGAAAGTCCGATATAGAGATAGAATTACAATCCTTAGGGGAAATCATGAGAGTCGTCAAATCACTCAAGTGTAAGAATATTTTCTTTTCATTATGTTTTTATCCTAAAACTCATTGTTATTTCTGTATGTAAATATTGTCATGTTTAAGCAACATTTTATTATTTTTCCTGCTTAAAGTTGGAGAACAAATTATAGTATTTTAGTATTTAATGATTCTTATATTCATTTATCTCAAAATTCGCTGATGGTTAACTTAGAAGGAGCAGCCTGATTTTTTGATAATTATAAAATACAAATGATTTAGGATGCAAATAGATGTATTTTGTTGTTTATGAGCCTCTGCAGTCTATCATTCTGATTCCTGATGCTAGTATTATAGTAATTTTCAGTAAATATAGAAATGGCTGTGAAACACATGGTGACTGGTTGGTAAATTTATGCTCAAATTGAAATGGATCTGGTACACGGACACGGACGGTTGTTCAAATGAAATGTTACTGCTAGCTTGTAACTTGCATCTGAATGAATGAGTTGCTATGATATGCTTGTGAATGCATCTTTATCAGTGGTTGTAAAGAGATTTGATGGTTTCGACTACAAGACATACTAAGCATTTTACTCTAAAAATAGTTTATTTATTTGCTAACTTCTTTGTCTATATCGTTCACATGTTTTCAGGTATGGCTTCTACGATGAATGCTTGAGAAAGTATGGAAATGCAAATGTCTGGAAATTCTTTACCGACTTGTTTGATTATTTGCCTCTGACTGCCCTCATTGAGAGTCAGGTTTGAGTTAAATATGTTGTGGGATGTTTCTGAGAAACTTTTACCTGTGTCTCACGTCCATTTATATTACAGATTTTCTGCTTGCATGGAGGTCTCTCACCATCTTTGGATACACTGGATAATATCCGGGCGTTGGATCGCATACAGGAGGTTTGTGATTTTAAATTGTTATTTTAAGCTCTTGCACTCTGAATTGTTTGGTGTGAAGAACATTTTATGCAAAACATGCTCTTTCTGAGTTAAAAATCTTTAAAATATGGTATGAGAAGTGATTTAAATGGTTTGTTGTTGGAATATTTTAGTGTAGTTTGTAGTACTTGTTTTTCATTGGAAATGTATTTTTCCTAGGTTTTCAATGATGTCTTCTTTCTCTTTCTGTATGGTCGAATCAGCAAATAAGTGTTTATTTCAGCCTTGCGGGGTTCTTTTTAGGATGTCTTGTCTTTTTTTCTCCATTCTGGAATTTCATTTCTGTATATGTCTTGTCTAAACTACATCAACAAAATTAATTAGATTTCTTGCCAGACAAATGACAACTGTAACTGCAATGTAGGTTCCACACGAAGGACCGATGTGTGACCTATTGTGGTCTGATCCAGATGATCGTTGTGGTTGGGGAATATCTCCACGTGGTGCTGGATATACGTTCGGACAGGACATAGCTGCTCAGTTCAATCATACCAATGGTCTCTCCCTGATATCTAGAGCTCACCAGCTTGTCATGGAAGGATACAATTGGTGCCAGGTGACTGACCTAAAATTTTGACTCAGTATAAGTATTGTTTTCTTTTTTGCTTTAGGGGTATACCCATTACGTTCTATTTATTGATGACTATTATTTTGATGGCTCTTTAAGGACAAGAATGTGGTCACTGTCTTTAGTGCACCTAATTACTGTTATCGATGTGGGAACATGGCCGCCATACTGGAAATTGGAGAGAATATGGATCAGAATTTTCTGCAGTTTGATCCAGCTCCCAGACAAATTGAGCCTGACACTACACGAAAGACTCCAGATTATTTTTTGTAACTTCGTATATCCCTTTGTTTGTAGTTGCTGCTTTCTGCTGATACTGGATGTGTCTTTAAGGAGAGAGGAGTCACTGTTTAAGTGGACGGTTATCATCAACATAATTCTTTCTTTTGGAGTTTGTCTGCTGTTGCCGCTGCTGCCGTCTTATTTGGACAGAAACAAATAGAATTGACACAATTGGTGTTGTATATTTTTTATAGAAGGAAGCGGCAATAACATGGTATATCCTGTGCTGTATTTTATTTTTTTTAAGTTAAATCTCAAGTTAGAGAGCAGATTTTTGAGTACTGACCATCATGTTCATTTAAGACTGGTTGATGGTGACAAGTGCAGGTGTTGATTTTTTTTCCCATAATCGAATGATAATGTGATAATAGGGGTAGAGGATTGAGTGGAAATGTTTGCTTCGAGACTCGAGGAATAATTGAGTCGAAATGATTACTTAAGCACATTTTATTAATAAATATAGAAACATTACTTAGTTCTTATTTTCTATTTTTAAGATTTTGTGGAGAAATGACTTATTCACAAAATTTAAAAATTAGAAACAAAAAGTGATTTGTTTTCAACTATTGATGGAAATATTAACTGAAAGTAAAATGAAAAATAAATCAAAGACCACCTAAAGACTTGTTAGTAAATCTTATTTATTCATTGAAAAATGTAAAATTCTATGAGGTGCCATATGCATATTTATCTTGCCATTTGTATATATGTAACTATTTGATTGTTATCTGTTTCGTCTTATCTTGTATATGTTCAATGTGTGTTTTAACTTGATTTATTTAAGTTTTTATTTATCTTGTAATTAATTATTTACAGTGTTAGTAATTCAGCTTTTAAACATTTTTATCATTAGTTAACCTTTGTTAGAAGTTGTAAAATTGTGGCTGAAATTGAATAAATAAAACATGAGATGTCACAATTTTGTAACATTTAAATGCTAATCATATTTAAAATACTGGTTTGCTATTATCTTTCTTTCTGAAAAAAGTAATGTCCAATATGCAATTTTTAAGTCAGTCTTGTCTTCACTTGAATGCACTACCCCTTGGATTGCGATAACAGAGAAGTGACTTCTAATATGTACGAATTTTCTTTTTTAGAAGTAACTTATTAAGTGGTAGAGATGGTTTTGCAATATTGAGATTGAGAGGCTGTGAAGTATTTAATGTCCTACTGAGTATAATTAGGTTGTTCACAAAGAAAATGCAATTAAAGTTCAGTCAAATCTGGTTTCAACTGACTAGGTCAATTAAAAAATTTATTACTCGAATTACCTAATGTAGAGTTATCTATTTTTAACTATGTATATAATTTTTACAAATTTGAACTTATTTATGAAGTTGTGTTATTTAACTTTTATTTATAAAATTATGTTGTTATTAAAAAATTTATTTTAGACGTTAACTACCTTATTTTTGAAATTTAAGTTATAAAATTATATTATCTTAAATTTTGTTTATTATTTCATATTAATATTTTATTATGATGACAATTTTCAAACTAAGCTTAAATTTATTAAACTATATTATATAAATGGAATCAATTGGACCAACAGTTGACTCATTTTCCCGTATCTCGATTAATGGATAATTATATCGATTTTTACAAGCTGATCATATTATTCACGATAATTAATTTTACAAATTGGATAAAATTATAATTATAATTTAAAAAAGTAAAGGTCAAAACAGAAGATATAGTAGAATTGCTGAAGGCCAAAAAAACCTAAATAATTGAAGTTGTTTTCTGACATTGTTGTCCTTTCCATTTCCCATGTCCAATAACTTTTAAATTACTCCTTGCAAATTGAAAAATAATAAACTAAAAATCTTAGTTACTAAAATATTAATTATTAGTTTTCTTTTACTTTATTTTTTATCGTTTTGCATTAAAAAATGTTCATTATGTAAAATTAAGACTAACAAAAAAAAATCTTACAAAATGTTAGGCATATTATTTAAAAATTAAAAGCCAATTATAAATTAATAAAAACTATAAAAACAAAATCAGCAAATTTACTGTATATTACATAGATACTCTAATACGAATTTTTATTTGAAACCCCAATAAAAATTGTAATAAAAAACACAGCAAATAAAGCAATGATGATTCGAGTTTATATACATGTATTAACTAGATAAAATGTATTAAAATTAAAAAATTAAATTTAATAATCTAAATTTCCATAATAACATTTAAGAATAAAAGATATATATTTTTCTGGATACAAGAAAAAATTGCTGACTTGTGGGGGAAAATATGCTAAAGATACTATCTGTTCCAATAAATTTGCAAAAATTGACCCAAACTATATGGCCTCAAAATGCAATGAATACCGTGACGTGATATGTTCAAAGAAGCAGAAGGCCAGTGAAACTATACTAAATTAAATCACTACAAATTACAGAGGAGAGCACCAAATCCAAACATTTGGCCTATTACTATCAATATGGAGTAAACATGTCACCATTCATTACTCTTCAACTTCAAAATCGAGAGTTGTTTTGACCCCTTCCAGCCACATAACCAGACATTGATGCGGCCTTCTTTTTTCTTAGGTATATGATTGAACCACTGATTAGCAGCAAAAAAATTGCCACCCCCTGTACCAAGTTTTGCACATAATAACATCAATACTTTAACATAAAATCTTGTTTGTCATATGTACCTCAATCATGTCACGGTTATACAAACCAATGCATCAAAATATTGAAAACAGAAGTAACTATATGCTTACTTCAAATTTGGACACTGTTTCCATTACATATTCTCACATCCATCTATACACAAACTCATGTTTAGATCATCATGATAAGTCGACAAAAAGAATGTACATGAATGTGACGCAGTAATACAATTGAATTTTGATATTCAGGGATGTTAGAATCTCTTGGATGCTTCTCAAAGATATAACTACAATGAACCTCATCACTGAGGTGATTTGGCACAAACTATATGAAGGAATATGTAGGAAATGTTGACTTAAGAGATAACCAATGAAGATAATTTTAGATAATAACTAACAGTTCAATACAGCAGAAAGCTATATTCAAGTAGAATGGATGGTTACTAAAATGAGATGAATATAAATCTACAGCAGGAAAATCATCAAAGGCTCCAATATCTACCAAATGACTACTAATACATATATATATATATATATATTGCCTCTTTCTAAATTCTACACCTAACGAGAAACTTTTCCAAGCACATGCTGATAGGAAACTATTTTATAGTAGAATCTGGTAGGCTGAACATGCATCTACCCTCTCAATACACCGCTAGCAGAACCTCATGCATTCATCAGTCCTTCGATTAATGTCACACACATGGTTTGAAGTACCTAATATTCCCAGATATTTAGAGAACCAAAGCAGATGAGAATGACAGCAAAAGTTAATCCTCTAAAGTGAGAAGCTAAGTTACCAACCAACTATGAGACTAAGAGTGAGCTAAAAGCTGAAGAGTACCTCAAAATTAAGCACTGACAACTTCTCTTCATTAACTGGGGTTATACAGCTTCTATAAGTGATGTAAGCCTGGGAACTATTATCTGAAGACGAGGAGTCCTCCGCTAGTCTTCTCTCTGATTGTGAATGAGTGAACTCTTCAGCAACATGTGATACATGCTGAGATTCTGCAGTACCATCAAAAACTTCTAAAGAAGATCTACCTTTTCGCGACTTAGTTTTCTTTGCATCCTTTGTTGAATCTTTAATCTCTACACATTTGAATGGAATTCGGTAGCCAGTCTCACTGCAGCGATATTTCTCATCACCCTACAACCCCCCCATTAAAGCTTGCAGATAAAAAATAAAGAGGCCATGAATAAACAACTAAACAAATAACATATAATGATATAATGTAGATCACATCAAGTATCAAGCAATACAACGGAGAGCTAACAAGTGCAATCCCAAACATAGAATAAAAGAGGTTTAGATCTTTAAAACACTTCACAAAATTACTTTTGGATTAGGAAAACTCAATATTAAGAACTTGAATCCCATTTCATTAATGATCACCTATACATTCACTCTCTAGCCCTTTCACATCACATCAACATTTATCTTCAAAAGTAAGGCATTTTGAACAAGACTGTATATACAATCTCCTCAAATCCGTTATGTTATAGAAATCCTAAATAAACAAATAACTTATTAGAGATGCAACAAAAACTGTATCCAGATCTGTATACATAGGCTGTTCATATATATATATATATGTGTGTGTGTGTGTGTGTGTATCAATTTTAAATCTCATTAACAAAGATTGATGATCCAGGTAGTTGCAAAATGAAATGACTACACTTGATGCTCTATCAAAATGAAATGACTACACTTGAAACCCTTATTTATGAAAAACTCCAATTATCTTAGAGAATTAGAAGTAGTATAAGATCACACCCCAATTTGAGGGGAAAAAAGATAACCTTCTCAGAGTAGAGGCAGGGGACACAGGGACCTGAAGGAGCACATTCAAAGGTAACGTTAGTTCCTGGGGGCTTCTCTTTGAAACTCAGAAGAACTCTGCGCCCAACTCCATTTCCATGTTGAGTGACTTCGCTGTTCCAATCCCTGCCCAGTTCAAATAACGAAGAAAAGATTCCAACTTTAAGGGAAACTAGATCAAAGCAATTTTATTGATCACCAATCAGGAACTCAAGATGCGAACTTTGTACAAAAACATAGATGCAGAGACAGAGAGAGGGAGAGATTGAATCTTACTTTTGTTGCCCTAAAGCGCGAAAGGGAGAAACGACGAAGAAAAGGCAGAAGAGTGGAAGAAACAATTGGGAATTTGCAAAATTCATTGCTTACACTATGCCTTTCCTCTTCTCTCTTTTCCTCAATCTGAAACCTGGTATGAAACTAAATCTGTTTTGTTCCTTCAAATCTCTTTTATTCATTCAAATCTGTTTATTATTTAATATTAAATACTATATTTGTCCAAATCATTCTAAAGATTTCATTATTAGAGAGTTCAGTTAAGAATTTACCTAAATGATGCTATTGTTTTATATTTTTTTATTTTTTTTATTTTTTGGATATAACTGGAAAATAAGTGTTAAAAATAAATAAAAAACAATTAAAATCGATTTTTTTTTGCATTAAAAATATTTAGAACCGTATTAATTCGGTTTAATTTTTAGTTTGATAATAAAATTCAATCAAATTAAATTGAATTAGAATTATAATATATATCATTTAAATTAAAACATAAAATAATATTTATTAAAAGAGATTCAATCAATTTGTTATAATTTAGACTATACATTATTAATTTTCAAAATAAATAAATATAAACATACAAAAAATTAAAATTATAAATATTATAATTAATTTTATACAATATTATTATAATACATTTTTTATTAAATAATTATTTTATTATAATATATTTAACAATCTTATAATAAAATATCATAAAAAACTTTTGAATCAAAACAGAAAATATGAATTAATTTTGTCTAGATTTTTCAAAAAATAAAAACTAAACAGAGTAGGTCTTGAGAATGTTTGGGTAGTGACTCTAGAACCAAATTCTCACAAGCCTGCCTAGTTAGTGCTCTGAGTATAGCTTTTCTCATTCTAATCAAACTGAAATCTTACCAAACACACCCAAATTCTTAAATCATGGAGAACCATTATTAGCAATAAAAAAAAAATGTACACCACACAATTTTCTTATGCATTCTAGAATGGCCTTTTTACAATGTAAAAAAAATATATTCTAAAAACCCATCTAAAAAATATATGGAAGGTGAAAAAAAAGATTGGGAGGTGTTGGAAGAAAAACCATAAACTCCCAAGGATTATATAGAAGGATCTATGGATATAGTGTGTAGATTGAAAGCCCTTTTCAATTCTACTACAATAAGTACACTCAAAAAATTATCAAGAAGAAAAGTTTTAGTTTAATTAAAATTGAATTAATTTGTCAAAATTTAAATGAAAATTAATATATAAAAATTAATTATTATATATAAAAAATAAATATATTATATAAAATTCTAATAAATTATAAATATATATATATATATATATAAATAATCACGTATATTTTTAATGTATTTTATAATATTTTATATCATAAAAATTATTAATTATTATCATCTATTTTCTTGAAGAATAAATTTATAATTTTTTTCTTAGACATTTTCAAAGTTGAACTTTTTTTTTACGTATTTTAATATCAAAATAAAATATCATAAAATATTAAAACTAATTAATTTATAACAAATAAAAATATTAATATCAATATTTCGTATTTTTATATTATACTACAATTTAATTTGTTATACAATTAATAAATTATCATTTTTATATTATAAAGGTGAAATCATAAAATAAAAGATTTTGAAAATTTAATAAAAAAACTTATAATTTTTATGTTATAAAATAAAATCATGAAATAGAAAAATTAAAAAGTGAATGAGTAGAAAAAAATAGAAATGTGAAAATAAAAGGTTAAGTCTTTGATATAAAAGTTGAAGTAGGAAAGTAAACATGGGAGAGGAAAATATATGATATAAAAGATAGAAAGAAAAGAGAGAAAAATATAAATGAAAAAAGTATGCGGAAAAAAATAAAAATAGTATTTATTATAAATAAAAATTAACATATATAAATTAAAATATTATATAATTTTTTTATTTTAAAAATTAATATATATATATATATATATATATATATATATATATATAATTAATTTTAGGAACCGCCCCTGAGCTTTTATTTGCTTCTATGTACTGTAACAGAGGAAATGAGAATGGATTTGTTTGCATTGATTAATTTGTGCAGAAAATAGGGAGATGGACGAGTATACCAACAAAAATAGTATTTCAAGTATAAAATTGGAAGACTTAAAATAAAATCATCATAGTTTATTTTCTCCTCTACAGTTCTTTATCAACATTTTATTTTATTTTAAAATTCATAATCAATTAATTTTTTTCATATAACCAATACAATAAAAATTGATTAAAAAAATTAATATAAAATTTCAGGATATCAATTATAATATGATTCAAATATATATAAATTAAATTAGTTTTAAAATATAAGATAAAATAATTGATGATATTTAATTATAAATCACTTGGAAATCAACTAAAATTTTAAATAAATAATAATTTAAATTAAATATTGTTATTTTATGAGATATATTTTATTTCTAACATTATAATATTTTGAAATTTATAATTTATATAAAATTATTAGATTTTTTAATTTATATATAAATTATTTTTCATATTACTAATTAAAATAAAAATAATTCAAACATTTATAATACTTTAAATTCTAATAATAATAATTTTTACCATCATTTAATAATTTCTAAATTTTTTATTAAAATATTATTTTGTATCATTTATATTAATCAAATAATTAACAAATTTTTTGCTTATAATTACTAAATAACTTGACTATTATATTGGTATACATTATATCATCCACAACATTTATATACAATTATTAACTAATTTATATTAAATTATCAACCATAATATTTTTTATTTAATATATTATAAACAGAAATTTTATTATTGAAACTATCATTAAACTCATCAATGATATCAACTAATATTATTTAAATGTATATATACATATATTATCTTAAGTAACAATTGTAACTGACAGAATCATTTAATATAGAAATGATTACTCTAGTGTGACTTAAAGGAACATAAATAATTGTTTAATCGAGTATCACTTAAGTTAAAAATGCAAATATCACTTAAGCTAGACAAACTAAGTACTTAAGACTCATTTAATGTTGAATGGGTGATTTCTTAAGCTTTTGTTGCTTAAGCAAAAGCAATTACCGGCTTAAGTGACACGGGTTTAAGTAAATATAAATATATAATCGACATGCTTAAGCGAGTATAATATGCATGATTGTTTTAAGTGAAATATCTCAACTTCTCACAATTCTACTCCACTAACAACTATAACAAAATAAACTTATTAAGATTTAGAACATATAATAAACTTATTAAGATTTAGAACATATAACATATATTAATTTTTGTTGTTTAACTTTGTAGGAGTAAAATGTAGAAATTACAACTTTAACCTAGTTATCAGAATAATTGAACCCTTTATAATTTATAAAATGAAATTTAATATAAAGAAAAATATTTAGGAATGACAAAACGGGTCAATCAGTCTCATCTTGACAAACCACACCTCTAACCCATAAAAAACGGGATGAACTATAGATTTCAGCTTATCCCGCACAAAGGGCGGACCGAGGTCAACAAACCAACTCGCCAATCATTTTTTTATATGTATTTTTTTAAAATATATATTTAAATTTTTATTTATTAATTAGTATTTTTATTAGATAAATTGAAAATTTTATTATATTTATGTATTAAAATAACTAATTATAATCAATAATTTAGACTTAATTGATTATTTTATATTTACATATCTCAATTGCATAACAAAAAAAATATTTTTAATTATAATCCTTTTTACTTTTATTTTAATATAAAAATATTTTTTAAAAGTGGCTCTCATGAGCCGACCATCCGGCCTTGTCTTAGTCTACTTAGTAGGTAAGCTAAAGGAGATGGGGCAAAACGGGTTGACAAGCTAAATTCACTAATATGTCCCGTCATTTTTTAGACGTGTTGGCAGATCGGTCCGTTAGACATAACCCATTTTGTCATCCTAAAAATAACATTAAATATTTTGTTTAAGCGGTACATTTTGTCACGCTTAAGCCAACAAACACACGGTTTGTACTCTCGCTCAAACGAGACATATGCCTTGTGTTGAGTGAGTGCATATGGATCATGATATCACTTAAGCAAGGAAAGCTTGACACATATTATGGTCTCACTTAAGCTTCTTTTAACTCACACTTAAGCAAAGAAAGAAACACAATTTGACATTGTCACAACTAAAATCGTGATGGGACGATGAAAATATTGTTTGACCTCCATGCATTTTTACTTTCATCTATTGATAATTCTTGTGTTATTTTCTTTAGTACTTGTGACTTACAATTGTGTTGTCATACATTTCAAGCAAGTATTATTTACCGAGTTCACTACTTCATGTCAGTTTTATTGTTTTACTCTTTTATTTTTTCTTTTTATTTTTCTATATATCTATAAAAATTTAAATTTGGAGGGAGTTTACACTTCAACTAGTGGCGGATCATGAGAGATGAGGGGGTTATACCCTCCAAAATTTTATAATTTACATTGACATTTATGATCCCTCAAAATTTAATAATTATTATAAAAGTTTTGCAACTTACATTAGTATTTATGATTTTGACATCTCTAAACTTAATAATTATTAAATATACTCGTTTGTATATTTACAAATTTGACCTCTCATCATTTTACTTTTCACATCCATTTATTATTTATTTATATTATATTATTTGACGCCCTTAAAATCAATAGTCAAGATTCATCCCTAACTTCAATGAGAGCATTAACTTAATATGTTATTACTTATGCATAACTAGACAATCACTTAGAACGAAAATAGATCAAATGAACAACATTGCTTAAAAAATGATGTTATCGCTTGTACTAAGTTCACTTAAGCATGGTCTCGATGTTGCTTCAAGCGAACTTCATTTAAGGGATGATCCCTCACTTTGTGCTCTTATTGCTTAAACGCTCATTTTCTTTCGTTTAAGCGATAGTCACTTAGAGCGAGTTGTGTTTGCTTGGACGCTTTCTTAATTTATATTTACTTGTTTTATTATGTAAATAATAAAGACTAAAATGATCAACAATTAAACCAAACTAGAGTCACTTCCCAACTACTCTCACTTAAGCAT